AACTTTAAGACTTGTGGACTTCAACTCCCAGAATTCCTCAGCCAGCAAAGCTGGCTGAGGAATTCTGGGAGTTGAAGTCCACAAGTCTTAAAGTTGCCAAGGTTGGACACCCCTGCTTTATACTATTCCAGACAAATGACTGTTCGATCTCTTCTTTAAAAATTCCCATTGTTGGAGCATCCGCACCTTCTGAAGGCGAACTGTTCCACTGATTAATTGTTCTCACTGTCAGGGAAATTTCTCCTTCGTTCTAGGTTGCTTCTCTCTTTGATAACTTTTCCAACCTCTTTGACAAGTTACTTGTCCTGCCCTCTGGTGCTTTGGAGAATAGTTTAACCCCTCTCCTCTTCTTTGTGGCAGCCCCTAAGATATTAGAGCACTGGTATCATGTCAGCCGTAGTCCTAAGCTAGACATACCCAATTCCTGGAACTATTCTTCATATGTTTCAGCCTCCAATCCTCTAATCATCTTTGTTGTTCTTCTCTGCATTTTTTCTAGAGTCCCAACATCTTCTTTTATATCATCATATCATTACATTACATTACATCCAAACTGGGTGCAATATTCCAAGTATGGACTTACCAAAGCAGTATAAAGCAGTGCTAACACTTCACGTGACCTTGCTACAAACCCTCTGTTGTGACAATCTAGGAGTGCATTGATATTTTTGGAAGCTGCAGCACACTGCTGGCTCGTACTTAAGTGGTTGTCTACTAGGACTCCTAGATCCCTCTCACAGTTACTACTGTTGAGCCAGGTACCTTCTATTCTATTCCATTCCATTCCGTTCCACTCCACACCACACCACACACCAGTCCAGTCCAGTCCACTCTTACTTCTATTCTACTCTACTCCAGTCTATTATTATTTCTATTCTATTCTATTCTACACAGTTTTTTTCTCCTAAGTGTAAAACCTTATTTTTCTTGCTACTGAATTGCATTTTGTTGGATAGGACCCAGTGTTCAAGCCTTGTCCTTTCTGGATCTTAAACTATTTTGAGGCTATTCCCCTATATTTAATGAGTTTCTCTTTTACGCCCTCATCTAAATCATTTATGAAGATGTTGAAGAAAGAATCCTGGGAGTCTTGTTTTGTCTGTTTATTTGTGCAGTTTGCTTGTTTTGTTTGTTTTATCTGTTTGTTTATGCAGTTTGCCTGAGATTTATATATTTATATATAAAATTTATTGACTGCCTGTCTTACCACAGGATAATTCCGGGTGGCTTAAAATCATAAAAGATAAACACATACACCCAACTAAAAACATAAATTAAGTAAATAAATTAAGAGGCTAGATGGAGTTAAAATCTGCCTGGGTAAAGACTGAGATTCAATCATTATTCTCTGTGTATATTGTCGTGTGTGTCAACCTTGGGCACTTTAAGAGGTGTGGACTTCAACTCCCAGAATCCTTCAGGCAGCTCTCTGTCTGAGGAATTCTGGGAGATGAAGTCCGCACATCTTTAAGTGCCCAAGGTTGACAAATACCGGTTTAACAGTTGTCAAGAGCTCTTGGTTGGGCAAACTATTACTGGTGGTAGACCTGAAAGTTCTGAGATTGAGAAAAAAGTGTTTTAAAGCCTTTTGGGGAGGATAGGGGCAAACATGCTATTATATTTCCCAGGCATTTATTCATGAACCAGTTGAATTAATGTCTTCGAGCTGCAGCAAATTCTCCATTTAATGGCTGTTTTTTTTCCTTTTAACTTCTGGTCAGACTGTTCCTTTTAGTGGTCCAATTTATGGTGGCCTGAAAGATGGGATGACCATAATAGTCACTGGAAGTGTTTTGAAGTCCTGCAGAAGGTGAGTCATTCAGGTGAAGGAGAAAAGAAGTGTATGGGAAGTTCCACCAAATCTTTTCAAAATATCTGGACAGCCATGGAACTAGTGAAGCCTTTTAACCGTCTCTGAACAAAGTGGACCTTTCAGTCCATATTGTATAACCATCATCTATCACCCGGGCATTGATGGGAATAAATTCTGAAACAAAATGATGCCTTTCCAATAGATTTGAAGTTTTGCAAATAAGTACAAAGAAATTGCTGGTCAGTTTGAACTTCACTCATGTTGCTTTATGATACAAACACTTCTTAAACAAACCCGTTCCCAACACATTCATATTGTAAAACAGGATTGGGGAACCATGACTCTGGACAACTCCTCATTCTTCCTCAGAAGCTGGCTGGAGGCAGGATGAACTCATTCCTGGCACATCAGGAACTGGGTTGATGAATGACTCTGAACTGCCAGCTGAAAGAGATTTGCAGAGGGCTTTGGATGGGGACAGTTTGCAGATCAGTGAAGAGGAGGAGGAACTACCTTCTGTGATGGATCCAAGAGTACACAGGGCAGAGAAAAGGCAAGAGCAAAGGAGATTACCAGACTACTCGGGAGAAGGCTCCAAAAGAAAGCTATTTATCGCAGCAGGCAGAGGGAAGCGTTGCTGGGAACAACTGGCTGTGTGTTTTTTCATACTTCCTGCTGGACTTGCTGCCTTGGAAACTGTAGTTCTCTTGCCAAGTGAACTCTCCTGGATGTACTTTCATTTTAGCCTGGTGGATTTAAATTTGTTTGGTGGACTTACTTGGAGCAATTTTCCATGGTTTTATGGACTATTGCCTTGTGGACTAATCTTGGCCTGCTTATGGCTGGCTTTATTTGGGACAGTTTTGAGGCTCAAAGTTTTCACTCAAAGGGAACTGCTGAGGGACATTAATAAACTCTCTAAAACACACATGTGTGAGTGAGTGGGGCAGCACAGGCCCTTTTATAACTTGTGTACATGGACAGCTCAGGAATTCTGGGAGTTGAAGTCCACAAGTCATAAAAGGGCCATGGTTCCACACCCCAGTTGTAAAGTATACAACTGTATAGTTCTGTGCAGAATAAAACTGGATGTCTTTCAACTAAATCTGTTTGAAAATCCTAAAAATTAAATAAGGAGCATGTCTCCTACGCACCCAGTGGAAATACAGATAGTTCTCAACTTACAGCAGTAATGGAAGCTTGTCTTTCTGATGTTGTAGAAAAGGACAGCCATGTGACCAACTCAATTTTACGATTTTTTTGCAGCCGTCATTAAGCAAACCAATCATTCACTATAGGCTGATTTAGCCAAAAACTGGAAGTAAGTGTGGTTTTCAGCAAAAATGTCATCAAACATGGTCATGTGACCACTGCAAGCAGCTAGTTGCCAAGTGCCCCAAATGCACTCATGGGGTCTGGCAACTCTTGAAGCTTTGGAATCGGATTGTAAGTAGCCCTGTGGAGCTCCACTGTAACTTCAAACAATTGCTAAGAAGCTGGTTATAAGTTGAGGATTATCTGTATGAAGGGTACCACACTCTGAAATGTCGGCACCCATTTTTGTGGGTATGTATTGCAAAATAAGAACAGAAATGGAATGGAATGGAACAAAATGGAACAGAACAGAACAGAAGAGAATTCTTTATCGGCCAAGTGTGATTGGACATACTAGGAATTTTATCTCCCGTGCATAAACTCTCAGTGTACATACAAGCAAAAGTGATAAATCATGATCATAATCATAAAATACAATTATCATAAATCATAAGATACAACATTCAGTGATAGTCATAGGATACTAAATAAGCAATCAATATAAATCATAATACTAAATAAAAACAAGCAACATAAATCATAAATACAAACAACAAAGTAATAATCATAAGAAGCTAAGGAAATAGGTAATAGGGAAGATGAGAAGGATACAGTAATAGTAATACAGCCCGACTAGGTAGTTTGACATCCCAGGGGCAGAAGACAGGGTTACGGAAATTAGGTGTTTAGCAGTGTGATAACATGTAGGGGAAAAAACTATCTTTGTCTCCAGTTGTTGTGCCCTGTAGTGGTGTCCTGAGGGGAGCAGTTGAAACAGTTTATGTCTAGGATGCAAGGGGTCTGTAGATATTTTCATAGCCCTCTTACTAGCGTAAGAGGGTCCTCAATGGAAGGCAGGCTGGTTGCAATTGTTTTTACTGCAGTCCTATCTATCCGTTGAAGTCTGTGCCTGTCCTGTTTGGTTGCTGTGCCAAACCACAGAGTTATAGAGGTGCAGGTGACAGACTCAATAATTCCTCTGTAGAACTGAATCAGTAGCTCCTTGGGCAGTCTGAGCTTTCTGAGTTGGCGCAGGAAGAACATTCTTTGTTGTGCTTTTTTTGATGACATTTTTTATGTTAGGTGTCCATTTTAAGTCTTTTGATATTATAGAACCTAGAAACTCGGCCTCTACTGTTGAAACTGTTCTGTCTAATATTTTAAGAGGTCGTAGAATAGGTGGGATTTGTTATGACCCAGGTGGCCAAGGCAAGGCAGGCCCTTAGAGAGTCCTTTATTGTCCTCACAAAGTGTTCAACAAACGGTCCTCCAACGGCTAGTAAGGCTCCATCCTTAGCTCCCTCGAAGGCAGCCACCCTCAGTACCCTCAAATGACAGCTCACATATTATCAGGAAAGTCCATATGGCAAAGTCCAGGCATAAGACAAACGGCAGTCCTCGGGGCAAGGACAAGGCGCAAGGCAAAGGCAGCTTTGAAGGCAAAGCAAAGGGCAAAAGCCATCCACAAGGCAAGGGCAAAACACAAGGCAGGCCTCAAAGCAAGGCAAAAAGGCCAGAGTCAAAGCCGGGGGAGTGTGATCCAAAACAAACAATTGTCCCTGGCAAAGACTAGCTCCCCGCGGCTTCTTCCTCAGTCACTCCACTCCAGGTGTTCACCGTGAGAAGGGGCGAGGCGACCCTCTCCCAAGCAGCCCTTCTCAGCCTACACTCCGCTCTCCTTGTCCTTAGATCAAGTGGAGGAGGCAGCTGTTCCTCATCAGAGAAGATCCGCTGCCTATCAGCACCACTGCCTGTCAGCAGCCGCTCCTCCCTCGCATCCGTGAAGCCAGGCAGCTCCCCATATAGTCGACTACCTTCCCCACTGCCTGAGGGGCCTGGGGCAGATTATCTTCAGCCCCTGGCCTCTCCAAACATGCCAAGGGAGTTGTGCCATCCCCATCAGACAATCCCGGTTCCAACTCCTCTGATACGGGGCCACGACAGGATTCTCCTAAAATCTACTATCATCTCTACAGTTTTGAGTGTGTTTTGTTTAAGTCTGTTCCAAAAACACAGATTAAAACACAGGTTAGCCTTTCAAGCCTGCCGTGGCAGTGTTTCCTTTTTTAATTTTTTAAATTTAATTTTATTTTATAACATTTAAAGATTCCATTTTTAGTTAAACAGTGTGTTGTCTGGGTACAAATATTTTTAGGAAATAATAATCAAAATGTTTGCAACAATATTCATTACCTTGGTTTTAGTTCTATAATAATATAATAATAACAACCACCACCACAACAATAATAATAGTTGCTTATCCATTTTAACTCTTTTACAGTTTTGAGTGTGTTCAGTTCAAGACTGTTCTGAAAACCCAGATTAAATTTAGCCTTTCAAGCCTGCAGTGGCAGTGTTTCCTTTTTTAAAAAAATATTTTTTTTAAATAACATACAAAGATTCCATTTTTAGTTAAACAGTGTATTGCCTGGGTACAAATATTTCTAGGAAATAATAATCAAAATGTTTACAACACTATTCATTACATTGGTTTTAGTTCTATAATAATAATAATAACAACAACAATAATAATAGTTGCATATCCATTTTAACTCTTTTACAGTTTTGAGTATGTTCAGTTCAAGACTGTCCCAAAAACCCAAATTAAATTTAGCATTTCAAGCCTGCAGTGGCAATGTTTCCTAACCTAGGAAACTTTCAGATACTGGCTGGGGGATTATGGGAGTTGAAGTTCATACATCTTGGCCAAGGTTGCGAAACATTTGTATTGTGCAACACGTGAATAAAAATAGGATTTGTAAGTGGTTTGCCAGGGTCATCTTTCTTCAATTTACCTTAATACCGCATGGTCCTCATCCAGATGGGTAGGGGCGGGGATTGGACTAGATGACCTACAAGGTCCCTTCCAATTCTGTTAATCTGTAAATTTCTCTTTCTTGCTCTCTCTGCAGATTCCAGGTTGACTTTCAATGTGGCAATTGTGAAATGCCTAAATCAGATGTTGCTTTCCATTTCAACGTCCGTTTTGATGAGAACTGTATTGTATGCAATTCACACGAAAAGGGGAACTGGCAGCAAGAAGAAAGAAAATATGATATGGTTTTCCGCAAAGGGCATCCTTTTGAGATCCGGTTTCTTGTGAACATCTCTTCCTTTGTGGTATGAAGACAATAAGTCCTCTTTGTGGGTTATAATCACCATCTTTTTTAAAAAAAAAATACATTAGATTTGGTTATTGATTTTTGCCTTGTAGCAATGGAAAAGCATTTTTCAAAATGTGTGAAATATAAAATATCACAAAACATCTCTTGCTGAGCGCAAAACTGCTATCTCAAATGCAGAGTGGGCCCAATCAATGCCCACATAAACTGGTGGAGTTTGAGCACACTTTCTTTTGATCATGTCTTTATTATTTATCAGTTTAGAAGCCGTGTCCTTCACAGAGCAACTCATCGAGTCTCTTACCCACTTTGGGTGCTCCTTACAGTCTCCCAATGGAGCCTGTCCATTATAGTCATCAGTTGTGACCGTCACAATGTAGGTCATCACATGATTGGACCTGTTTTTGATGCCTTTTTTGCAAGGTTCATTGAGTGAGCCCATTCTTTACTATGGGCCATTTTTCCCGAAAATTGGGATTAAATGCTGATTTTCTACAAAAACAATGTAAATCGCAGTCACATGATAGAGGGTCTTTGCAAATGGCCTTAAATGCAGACTGGCTGCCAAGTTCCCAAAACACAATTGGGAGAGAGGGGTAGCTCTTGTAACTTCACAACAAGGTTGTAAGTGCGGTTTGGATAATCTGTCACTAAGTGTTTGGTTGTAAGGCAAGCAGCACCAGTAATCTCAACTTGGTTTAAATGTTTTATAGGAATCTAGTCCTTATCATTTCTAAAACATGGTTTGTGACTTCCCAGTTGGCCTTATTCTTAACCTACTAACTGGGGTTAGCTTGTTAGGTGAGTTCAACCATTGTTTTGCTTCCTTCTCTGTTGTCCCAAAGCTACTTTTTCCAGAAGACAACTGGACTTCCTGCATTTTTTTCTTTGAAAACATTTTGCTGGGGAGAGGGCGGAACTGGCGTCACGGTGGTACAACGCGCGATCTTGAGGCTCCAAGATTGCTGTCAATATCTCCGCTGTTAGACGGTCCCACCGGACCTAAACCATCCCGTAGAGACGGTGACAGAGAAGGGCACATCCTGTTGATCCCAGGGACACTGCAAAGTCCCTGGTAGATCCAGGAGAAGCCCTTTTTGCCGATGGTGGAGAGGCAGCCATTCAAGCTGCTTGAAGCTGGGACAGCTCCGGAATGGAAGAGATCTGGAAAGAAAGTGTGTCAGTTTGGTGAGATGAATTTCTACTTACTATTTTTTGCAGAGAACACCCTAAAAGACTTAAAGTGAAATTAAAAGTGAAGATAAAAGAGGTAAAGCAGCGAGATTAAGCTAAGATTAAACTGAAGGGTTTTTTTCCCCCTTTTTATTGAAACTTGGAATTTGGCAAAAGCTTCTCAATTTTAAATTGGACTGGTCTCCTTTTCTATTTTTTTATTTTTTAAATAATTTCTTTGAAAGTCTCTTTTGATTAAGATTCTTTTTTTTAGCTTTTTCATTTGAGGTTTACTTTTCTTCTTTTTTTCTAAAGACTTTACTTTTTTTTTAATCTATTCCTGGCTTTGGATATATGAGGGGAAGTGAAAATGAAGGGAAATAAGTAACACTGCCATCTAGAGACTTGGATACATTGTTTTCTTTTCTTTCCTACTTGTTTATGCATTGGTGTTACATTCAAGGACTCTGAGCTATTTACTGAAAAGATAGTGGGATCATTGGGATGAGCACAGTAGATTGTTTATACAAGTGGTCTTCTGTGAAACTATTGACAGCTGGAGTTGAGTTGAAGTTGAAAGAAAGAAGATTGAAGTGACCTTGGAAAGTCTGATTTGATTTACTAAAGAACCTTGGACATTTAGTGGCAGTGGTTCGCTTTCTGTCAGAACTGTTCGTTATCCTTTTTTTTTTTAACTTCCCCTCCAGCTGGATTTTTATGTTTGGACTTTAGCTTTTTGATCCAGGAACTAGAGTATATCCCCCCCCCTTTTTTTTCTTTTTCTTTTTCTTTTTTATTAAGGGAAATACATAGGCTTCTATTTTTTTTTAAAAAAATATTTTCTCTTTAAATTCTTTTACTTTTTCACCTGGAATAATGACAGAAATCCTGGCAGAAGCATTAGAGAGAAGATGATGGATGGAATGGATGAAGTGTTCTGTGTCTATATGAGAAATAAATTACCAAGATAAGTTCATATCAAATTTACTAAGAAAACTATCAAAACACAGATACTGCAGGTAGAAAGAAAACATTAAAGTACAAAGAAATTGTGGTACTGAAACAAGTACCGAGAAGAGTGAGAAAGATGAGAAGAGAATACTTATTTCTGACTAAAGAGTTGCTCAAAAGAGGAGTAAATTACAGATGGTTGATACCAGAAGGTCTCATGTTCACCTGGCAGGAACAAAGACACAGAATTGACACAGTTGAAAAAGCTGAGCTATTCTATCTAGAATATTTTAGAGGAAAGGAAGAAGATACAAGAAGAGTCGTTAATCGAATTTCAAGAGGAGTGTATACCAGCAATTGAAAAAGAAAAAGAAGAAGGTGCAGTAAGTGGTGTACCCAGAGAGCAACAAGAACCAAGGTCTACTAGAGCAACAAATCCTTATAAAGTCTAAAATGGATGAAAGAAAATTGATTATGATGAATATAAATGGACTCAATTTAACTACTAATAGAAGAAAAGTATTCCATAAACTAGAGAAATTAAAGTTTGATATAATCTGCCTACAAGAAGTACATATTAAAAAACAACATGAATATATACTGAAACAAAAAAAATTAGGGAAATTATTCACATCATTGATACAATGTAAAAAAAGAGGTGTAGTCTTATATATTAGAGATACAATTCCTGTGGAACAAATTTATACAGATGATGATGGAAGGATTTTGATGGTGGAAATAATGGACAATAATGTCCATTATTAACTTTTAATAGCAATTTATGCTCCAAATGATAACCAGGAAGAATTCTACAGGAAATTACCCATGAAAGTAATTGAACTGGACTATGTTAATATTTGTATAATGGGAGATTTTAATGGAATAATTAATGATCAATTGGATTATAAAACACAGAAAACAACAAAGCAAATTAGAAAGACATTGCCAAAATCCTTTTTTTGAATGATAGAGGAAATAAACTTAAAAGATGCATGGTGAGAGACAAATGTGGAAAATAAACAATATACTTTTTCTTCAAATAGACATGCATCATGGTCTATGTTAGGAATGATGGTCACCTAACAGTTGGGTTGGCAATATATAAACCAGGATAGTCATTTAATACTCTTGTATCTTTAAGAGAATGTTGTAATTGTGATTGGCTGAGGTTCCTCCAATGGCCATAAGATGGAGCCAGAAACTTGGTTTCTTCTTTTTGCATTTCCTTTGCTTTCCTTTTGCCTTTTGCCTGATCGTCATTCTGCTTGAATTGCTGTGAGTCTTGCAACTATTCGCAAACTCCGTTTATTGAACTTTGTCTATGATACTGGTAAAGAAAAGGACTTCATTTTGGGATTATCCCTGGACTGATTATTTGGAATACTAACTGCTTTAACTGTGTATGATTTGGACTGTTTGTTGGACTTTGTTTACCCGTTTACAGGAAGTAAAACTTACATTTTACTATTCAGTGTATCTGTGTGCTGGTTGTGTGTTATTCATCACCACTCTCACTATGTTTCCCTGAGTGCACTCATTCTCCTAACGGGGGAATACCTCAACAGTCTAGAATGGATATGATATGGATGTCAACAGAATTATTTTTCAACATAGAAGAAATTGAAATAAAAACAAGTACTTGGGCAGCCCATAATCCAATGACAGTTACATGGAAAGGACAAAAGAGGAGATCTAGATGGACTTTAAATAATATGATAGGAAAGCAAAAAGGGAAAAGACTTTAAAAACAGAAAATTGAGAGAGAATTGGTTTTCTTTTTTAAAGAAAATAAAAAAGAGGTTACATCTTTACAGAATCTCTGGGACATGATGAATGCCTACACAAGAGGTTTGATAATAGAATATACAAGAAAAAGAAATATAAAACAGAAAAAAAACTTTCAAAATACTGGAAGACGACTATAAGAGACTGGAAAAAGAGTTACAGAAATTTCCACCAAAAAAAGACATTAAAATTAAAATGGACATAACTAAACATAAAATGGCATTAATGGAAAAAGAGGAATTAGCACAAAAAATTAAAAATGCTAAACAGAATTATTTTGAAGATGCAAACAAACCAGGCAGATGGTTAGCCTATAAATTGAGAAAGGAAAGAGAATCAAGAAGGATAAGTCAACTAACAGATGAAGAAGGATGTGTCTGCTATGGAAATAAATTATACAAGATTATTATGGAAAATTGTATCATCAAGAGAATATTCAAGAAGAAAGAATTAAGCAATATCTACAGGAAGCGAATTTACCCCAGATACCCAAAGACATTGAATCAATGTTAGAAGGGAACATAACGATGATGGAATTAACAGAAGCTTTTAAAAAAACAAAACATTGGAAAAGCACCAGGTCCAGATAGATTGCCAGTGGAATGTTATAAGACATTTCAGGAAATGCTGAATCTTCAATTACTAGAAGTTATTAATGAAGTTATGTCAAAGAAGAGAATACCCAAAACATGGTCAGAAGCATACAGTACACTTGTACCGAAGGAAGATACACACCCACAGCAAGTTAAAAACTATAAACCTATATCCCTATTAAATTCAGACTATAAAATCTTTGCTTCAATCTTGGCAGAAAGACTGAAAAGATATTTAAATAACTTTATTCATGCTGATCAAAATGGATTTCTGCCAAAGAGAAAAATTAAAGATAATATGAGAATAATTCTGGATACTTTGGAATATTATGAGGCACATCCTGAAAAGCAAATGGCTTTGATGTTTTTAGATGCACAAAAAGCCTTTGACAATGTGAGTTGGCAATTTATGTTATTGCAACTGGAACAAATGGGCTTTGGTAAAAATTTTATTCAAGCCATAGAAACGATATATTATAAGCAAACTGCAAAGGTTATGATAAATGGAGAGTTAACAGATTCTGTAGATATAAGAAAAGGGACTAGACAAGGTTGTCCACTGTCGCCTCTATTGTTTGTGTTAACATTAGAAGTGCTGAATAGGAACATTAGAGAAGAAAAATAAATAAAAGGAATGAAAATTAAAAAGGAAGAATATAAATTGCAAGCTTTTGCAGATGACCTGGTATTTATATTACAGGATCCACTGGAAACAGCACCTAAATTAATAGAAAAGATAGAAGAGTATGGAAAAGTAGCAGGTTTGAAAATAAATAAAGATAAAACAAAGATATTAACAAAGAACATATTAGCAAGTTGAAAGAAAGAGTTGGAGGAAGTCTTGGAAATCCAGGTCATGAATAAGGTTAAGTATTTAGGGATATATATAACAGCAAGATGTAGTACACTGAAAGAGGATAACTATCCTAAACTCAAACAACAGATTGCGACAGACTTGACAAAATAGGAAAATTTTCAATTATCATTGATTGGGAGAATATCTACAGTTAAGATGAATGTATTGCCTAGAATCTCATATTTATTCCAGACAATTCCAATTAGACTAGGGAAAGAGTTCTTTGAAGATTTAAACAAAATAGTGTTAAAATACATTTGGCAGGGAAAGAAAGCGAGAATAAAACTTAAACTGTTACAAGATGCAAGAATAAGAGGAGGGTTTGCTTTGCCCAATTGGAAATTATATTATCAGGTGACAAACTTGATGTGGGTAAAGGAATGGATAACATTAAGGAACAGTAGATTATTGACTTTAGAAGGACATGACTTGCTGTTGGGATGGCATGCTTTCCTCTGGTATAAGGGAACTAAAACACAGGGGTATTTTAGAAGACATATTCGAGTGGCATTGTTTTTAAACTGGGAGAAGATAAAAAAGCAATATTATTTAAAAATTCCATTATGAAGCTTTTTCTTATCCAATAACATATAAAAAGGAACAAACAGTTAGATATGGTGAGATACTGAATGAAAAGGGTGAACTTAAATCTATGCAAGCGTTGGAAGAACAAGGTATAAAAATGAATTGGTTTTCATATGTACAAATACAATCTAGATTTGATAAAATCTTAAAACAAAAGGTTTCTATGATAAGTTGACTGATTTAGATAAAATTTTGATGGATGCTGATGAAAAGGTAATTAAAAAACTATGGACATTTATTAGAATTTAAATTAGAGGAAGAACAAGTTCAAGAAACGATTATTGCTTGGGGGAAAAATTTTGGATATGGAACTGATTTAGAGAAATGGCAAAAATTGTAGTCTCAAAATTATAAAATGACAAGGTCAGTTGCTTATAAAGAAAATTTGTATAAGATGTTTTACAGATGGCATCTACCCCCGACGAGAATTGCGAGAATATTTAAGAACACATCAGATAAATGTTGGAAATGTCATCAGATACCTGGTTCTTATTACCATATGTGGTAGACATGTTTGGACACAAAAAGATATTGGACTAAAATCCACACATGGTTGGAAAAAATGATAAAACAACACATATACTTTAAACCGGAGATGTTTTTATTGGGAATTATACCGGAAATATACAATAAAGAATTGAAATATTTGATTGTAAATGTTTTAACAGCGGCTAGAATTTTATTTGCTAAGAATTGGAAAAAATGAAAAAATACCTATGCAGGAGGAAGTTATTAAGAAAATTATGGACTGTGCTGAAATGAGTAAATTGACATTTGAAATTAGAGAACAAGAAAATAAACAATTTTATATGATATGGGACTTATTTTATCAATGGCTAGATAAAAAGACATGGTAATGAAATAGACTAGGAAGTTTTGTAACGGAAGATTAATATATATATATATAATATAATACAAAATATATAACCTTTGGATAAATGTATAATATAAATTTATAATAAAATCTAGAATATCTCATATGAAATGATGGAATAATAGTTTAGTTAAATGAATGGTTAATAATTGATAGATATATAAGCATTTGTTAGATTGACAATTTGAGAACCTTTACAACTTGTGAGTAAGGACTATGAAAGGATAGCACAAAAGATTTGTAACCAACTGACACACTGTATGTATATAATTGAAAGATGGTTTTATGTTTTTATCCATATATGTTTGTCTTAAAAAATAAAAAAAAATTACAAAAAAAAAAAGAAAACATTTTGCTTCTCATCCAAGAAGCTGCTTCAGTTCTTCAGATCAGAACTGAAGAAACTTCTTGGATGAGAAGCAAAACATTTTCAATGAAAAAACAAAGAAATCCAGTTACCTTTTGGAAAAAACACCTTTGGGACAACCGTGATCTGGAGCCCTGTGGTGGCGCAGTGATTAGAATGCAGTATTGCAAGCTAACTCTGCCCACAGTCTGGAGTTTGATCCTGACTGGCTCAAAGGTTGATTCAGCCTTCCATTGTTCTTAGGTCAGTTAAGTGAGGACCCAGATTGTTGGGGGCAATATGCTGACATCCTACATCGCCCAGCTAGTCTGTAAAGCACCATGGGGCAGTATATAAGTCGGAGCCCTATTGCTGGATGATCAAGTATCTCCACAGACATTTCCTTCTGTGTTGTTCTTGTGGTGACTCGATATGACAAGTTGCTCCCTTCTGTGTGTGGCAGGTTCTGGTAGATGGAAAGCTGTATTTGGAATTCAAGCACAGGATCCCTCTTTCCCGGGTAGATACCATCGGAATTTCAGGAGAACTAGATGTGATCTCGATCAGCTTCCAAGGTCCAATTGTAGGTATTCCATTGATTCGTTTTATTTATAAAACACCTCTCCTGCCTTCTTTCGATAAACAAAAGGGTACCCTTATTTTTTCTTGGGGTTAAATGTGTGGAGTGTTTAGACAGGATAAATATATGCCTTCCCTCTTTCCTTCTGGTCTTTGAATTATTGCAAAGATTTTCTAACAGTTTTCTGAGTGATTTGAGGGAGGGGGGAGATAAAAATAAAGTCCAGGTGGTGGCCTAATGCCAACAATCCCTCATGTGTGTCGAGACAGGGGTGGGCTGCTGGGGGTTCGAGAGAGCCCTTAGCTAAGATTCTGTGCAGTTTGGAGAACCCCCAAATCCCACTCCTGGCTGGCCCCACCCACCCCTCTCCTCTCCTTCCAGGAGTCTCCACGTGGCCTGTTTTAGACGCAGGTAAGTGCAGGGCGCACACAGACGCTCAGGGAGGGTGAAAAACGGGCCTCCTGGAGGCTTCCAGAGAACCTCCTGTGTCAGGGCTCCGGCAGTTACCCCCATTTAAATCATGAGTCTCGAGCCGAACTTCCAAAACTTAAAGAAGATTTATTAGGAGTAAACATGCCAGCACTGCCTGGGTGTAGCTGACTCTGAGACACATCCTTCATTGTCACCCTTGACCCTGTTTTCCCCGCACCCCCTGGGTGTATCATAATTCATATTCTCCAATGGGACACATCCATAGCCAAGAGTCTCAATCATGCTTTCCAGTTGTGCGGCAGAAACTTCGGTCACCTAGTTACTATCTTTGAAAACATTTATGGAATGCAAGCTGCTGCACTGCTCCCCCCCCTCCCTTTCTGTTGGCAGCTCTAAAAAGACCATAGAAATATTTTATGAGTTGACCTCTGGAGCCTGGGGAGGGCAAAAACGCCCCTGCCCCCGCCATGGTGCAGAGACTGACTAGGCCACGCCCACCATGGCCACGCCCACCCAGCAACCAGACAGAGAACCCGTTGCTAAAATTTTTGAAGCTCTCTGCTGGTCACAGACATGATGCACTTCAACAGAGACACAACTTCCGATTGCATGGTATTAGTCGCCATCTTTGATTTTTTGCGGGGGGGGGTGATTTCTGACAAGATCAGCGGCAGCACACCACCTATCCTATCGCACCTCTCCGTCATTTGAAGTTTAGCAGGATTGTTGTGGGAGGAGGTCAGAAAGTGCCACATTTTTGTATTGTAATACCAGGTAGTTCTCGACTTACGACTGTAATGGAGTCTAGAATTTCTGCCGCTAAGTCATCATCTTTGTAAGCTGAGGTACCCACATGACGGATCTGATTATAGAAACCGTGTTTGTGGCACGTGTTAAGCAAAATGCAGCAGTCATAAAGCGAGTCCACTCCTAGGGGCGTGTTTTTAGCAGAAACCAGCCAAAAAATAAAATGGCAGTCAAATGGCCATGAAACACTACAACTGATGAAAAATGAGTGTGCAAAATGTGGTCAGGTGACTAGAGGCGTGTGTCAACTCCCAGAGTTTCTCGCTGAGGAACTCTGGGAGTTAAAGTCCACAAGTCTGAAAAGTTGCCAAGGTGGGAGACTCCAAGAAGTGTTTTTCACTGCCAGAGGAATTCTGGGAGTTGAAGTCCATACATCTTAAAGTTGCTGAGGTTGTGAAACCCTGATTTAGAGGTAGGTCTTCATTCCGATAGCTCATGCAATTTCCTTTGATTTCTGTTTTTTTTCTTCCAGACCTATCCAGTTTGTTCCAATCCAGTTTTCCCAACATTCTCACAGGTATGACATACAGTCCTTTTATCTATCTATCATCTATCTATCTATCTATCTATCTATCTATCTATCTATCTATCTATCTATCTATCTATCTATCATCTATCTATC